TGCTCGCCAATGTGCTCTCTTCGATTTACTACGAAAATCTTGAATTGTCCGCTTTAGCAATTACACTGTAAGACACAATTTTAGCGCGTCTCCTTAATCTAACTTCAGGCATTTCTGATGAATTGTATTCTTCATATTCCTCCACGCCTCTCCACGTCTTACTACACGCCTCTTCCTCTTAGTTTCATCCTGCCCCACCTTGAGTACTGTTTTTCAGTGTGGCATTTTTGTGGGTCAAGAAATATGGATAAATTAGAATCACTAAACAAACACATTTTACGCTTATTTTAACCGACAAACACTCGGACCTCAAACCGCAACTATTAGCTAACCCGGGAAAAACTTCACTCTACAACAAGCGTATACACAGCATGCTGTCGATATGCTACAGTGTCTAAACTTAACCCACGTTTACTCCACGTTTGTTTACTCCACGTTCTATCACCTTCTCTCTACGTGGTAACAATATATTGAGTCCTACTCAATCCATCGACTACCAAATATGCATGATCCTCACTCCTTTTGCTACTTAGCTGCTAAGACCTGGAACTCATTACCGGATTCATGCAGAAAGCAGGAAACTTTGACATAGTTTGAGAATGCTATCGATAAAATGAACTTTGCACAATGACCATGCTTGTCTATCTAATACATTGATTATTGTTTTTTGTACAGCTGTGACTCCGCTTATCTATTTACACATTGATTAAGTCCTCTATTTGTGTTTGTTTTCGAGGATTGCACGATTTTTCCTTCTCGAAGATCTTAGCTAATTTGTAGCTACCTACAAATTCGAGGATAAATAAAGCTCATGTATGTATGTATGCATGTATGTACGCCGACGGTGGTGTAGATATTTGAACGAAAGGCATTTTGCTACAAACACATCTTGAATTATTTGCTTTGCCATTTTAACACACTGTGATATATAATTTCGTTACTGTGTGATACGGCATGTTATAACCCCTTGTGTAAACTGAAACGCAACCCTAGTCCTAAAATATACCGGTCCGTGAGAAAACGAAATAAAGTTTGTGAATACAAACTTCCAATAACTTACATGAGAATTTATCGAATGAGGAAGGGAAAAATCCACTCCGCGAAATATCCCCTATTTAAAAAAGTCATTTGCCCGAGCGAAATGCCATTTTGGTTCTTGTTTCAGTAAGGTTCTAAATTTTGCCAATTTTCAGGTGCGTTGACCATCATGCCATGGTTTTGGAATTTTCGAATACCACCCTACATAGTTCTTTTGGGTGACGTTGGCACTGGCAAGTCTACCATTGTAGAGAAACTGACAGGAAAAAAAGGCAGGAGTTCAGATGCGAACGAGAGTTTCACGAAGACCTCGAGAGCTTTCTGGGTCCGGGACGGCAGCCTTATCGTATCCGATACACCCGGCAGCAACGCATTGAAAGATAAACTGGACCACAATATTTGGATAGCTGGGGCACTGAACTACAGACCCGTCTCAAGAATATTCATTGTTGTCAAGGCT